TCCATGCTTAAATTAATATATGAGATTATATAAAAACATGTTTTAAATTTTAAGAAACAGCTTTCATGTACTGTATGTGGAAGAAGACATGTACAATGGGGTCACTCCAGTATGTCCAACTGCATAAGGAGACGTTAATTTTTTTCAAATCACTTTTAAAATGTTAAGAGATAACTCTCATGGTTATAGAAAACATTTAACATGTTCTGAAAACATTTAACATGTTCATTCACTCTAGCATGTCCAGCTACACAGAGGGCATATGTTTGCAGAATTAAGTATCCCCCAAGCTATCTAATACAGAGGTCCAAGAAAGAAAAAGAGTGCTGAACCTTTGATATCCCAGACGTTGGGGATTTCAGCTTCCAGAAGCCTCAACACATAATGGTAACATTTGTTGTTTTATAGGCAGAGACCTCAGCAAAGTTAAAAGGATTTGGCTCAGTGAAAACTAGTACAGTTTCCCCTTCTTTAATAAACGAGGGCCAGAGTCCCATTGGTGTTTGCATATGGTTATGGAACTTGCTGGGGCTAACTGGAGCTAGTTGACAAGGTGATGCATTGTGTTTTAATTGCATGCCTGGTCAAGAGCCGAGTTATGCAACTGAGGTATGCCCTAGCACCTCCTCAATTAGCATGGGCAAATCACACAGATCTTGAATTATCACCAGCAGGATTCTGGCCAAGATAAAGTGTTTTTCATATTTTCATAGAGAACACTGGAAGACAGAAGCAACAAGTCTTGTCCAGAAGACTTCTTCAAGAAAATGAAGGATTTTAGTATGTTCAAGGATACAACACTTTCAAATAGTTTTTTCTTGGCTTTGAGTTAATGAGATACATAGATCCTTTCTCTAGGCAATGTTTTGATGCATTCAGTGATAGTCGGTCTCCCTGGCAGATTAGCATTTTAATAGTCTTCGCCCCTACTGTTGCCTTCATAGGAACCGACAATTATTTAGGTAATGGAGAAAATAGAAATACTTACTGTATTCGAGAGAGGGAGAAAGAGGGAGAATGATCTGATACATTAGAAATTTTATTTCTGCTGAAATGTGTATACTTCATTTTATTTCTTAAAGTGTATTATAAGATTTGGTATTATTATGCATAAAAATGATGTCAAGAGGCAATCAAATACAGCACATTCTAAGAGACTGAATTTATGTAAGATCTTAGTGAAGAGAAATGGAAGCAAAAAGAAGAAGAAAAATATAGATATAGTTAAGTAAACTAAATTAGATAAAACAAGGAAAGGCATAGACATGATTAGGCTTCTACAAAGCAGAAGAAAATGGAACATTGTTGAAGAATAAGTTATAGTTTGAAACATTTGAAAATAAATGTTTTCAGTTGTAAAAATACTGGAAGGTGAAAATATTCACCATGGGCTAAAGCCAGGTGAGTCAATGAAGTGCCAGTTCATCCAATACATTTGCTCTAGTTGATCATCAACTAGATTTAGTCCATGTGTTTACAAAACAAACTCCTGTTGCTTTTGCCCTTTTATAGTATATACTCCTAAAACTGGACTCACAATTATGTTTTTACAAAAGAAAAAGTTATGAAACCTATGTAACAGATTGACTACGTTATTTTGGCAAATACTTCAGATTTATTACAAATGTAGTATAATAATTTGAAGATTTCAGAGCCTATCTATGCGATTAACTTCCATCTGCAGTGGAATTTGTATTTCCTTGCAAAGACACTACAGTTTCCAACATATTGTTCTTCTGCTCTGGTGCCTCATTGGTGTGAGGAACTCAAGAAAGCAAGTATTATTTAGAATCTAATTTAGTCTACATTTGTATTGCTGTTATTATTGTTTTTGCTTTGTATTTGTCTTCGGTGTGGAAGGGATTGTCACTCTCGAATTGGCCTTCTCAGCCACACTAGATGCTG